ATTTGATGTTAGCTAGACGTTCAGCGGATACAGAGCACTAGAGTTGTGTAATGAAAAGACTGCGTACGGAAAAATCATAAATAATAGCCAATGTAGGGTCTGCGAAGGGAAGGTCTTGCCAATCTAATTTGCTGGTTTTCTTCGACGGTGTGACAAGGGAGCTTGATAAGGGTAAGGCTGCGGATGTTGTGCATCCGGATTTCCGTATGGCCTTTGACGCAGTTCCTCTGAAAGTAAAAAAAAAGCAGAATGTCAGACTCGAGCCAGCCCTCTGTGGTGGTATCTGGTGCGGTTCCTGAGCTGGGCAGGTCTGCGGCGTTCCAGGGTACCCGCTGATGACAGCACAGCCCAGTTGGGCTCATCAGTAAGACTCGGAAGAGCAGACCAGTCACCGGGGGCAAGGAATCCTCCCACTCACTCCGCTCCTGTTAGCCCTACAACCCCAAGCCCCAACAGATCGGGTGGTCCAAGCTGGACAAAAAGCTTGGCCGACGGTGCGCTCAATGGCGAGCTACGCTGTTTTAGCCGGTTAGATTCCAGCCATTACCCCGACGACGCACACTCTCACTGACCCGCGACCCTAACGCTCTCCAGGATTTTCCCCCCAAAGAAAAAATGCAATTGATCATACCTCAAATAAAAATAACTCCTGTAGCCGTGGAGTCCTGTAGCTCAGTGGTTAGAGCACTCGCTTTGCGAGCGAGAGACCCGAGTTCAATTCCAGGCAGAGGGCGAAACCTCGGGCAAGTTTCCTTACTCCACACAGAGCCTAATAATAATCCCTCCAAAACCCAAAACAATAATAAATTGGTCATTTTCAATCCACGACTGTTTGTGGGACATTGCTGTGCGCAATTGGCTGCCGCGTTCGCCCACAAACATACAGTCAATTCATTTTACAGTGTGTTCTGTGAAGCGCTTTGGGACGTCCTCCCGACGTGAAAAGCGCTCTATCAAATGCAAGGATTATTATTATTATTATTATAACTCCAAAGTTATAAAACGGGTTTAATGACCCTGCCACCTCCACGATGGAAAAATGCCCCCTACGCAGCACAGAATACACTGCAGAGTAAGTTTTGTGGCCGATTCAACGCCGACAACAAATGACATTGGTACAGCACTTTCCACGTCGGGAGGACCTTCTCAACGTGCTGGAGATTGAGGGACTGAGACCCCGAGCCGGGGGTTGGGATCAGGGCGGTGGGCGGTGGGCGGTGGGGGGGGAGGGTAAGGGTTGGAGGGCACCTTCGGATGGAGTTCCAAAGGGCAGGGGACGGGCGGCTGGAGGACCGACCCCTGACGGAGGTGGGTGGGTGGGCCGGGCCGGGCGGGGCGCGTGCGGCTGAGCCCAGGGGGCGGACAGGTTGATACGGGGTTAGCAGGTGGCAGAGGTGGGAAGGGGCTTTAAGATGCTGCGACCACCCTTTAAATAGCCAATAATAAGGTGGTGCTGTATTCTTGCGCCAGCATCAAGATGGCGCCCGCTGCTGCTGCTGCTCATCGGTGGGCGCTGCGCCAGCTTGACAGGCGCCATCTTTGATGCGGGCACTGCCTGTTGAGTGAGTGGCGGCGGCGGTGGTGGGGGTGGGTGATGGACGCCATCTTTGATGCGGGCACTGCCTATTGAGTGGTGGTGGTGGTGGGGGGGTGGTGGCTGGGTGATGGGCGCCATCTTTGATGCGGGCACTGCCTATTGAGTGGTGGTGGGGGGATGGTGGCTGGGTGATGGGCGCCATCTTTGATGCGGGCACTGCCTGTTGAGTGAGTGGTGGTGGGCGCCATCTTCGATGCGGGCGAGCGCAGCACACCGAGGTGATTGATAGTCGCGCCCCCCCCCCACCCGCCCCTGGGCCCTCCGAGCGGCCAATGGGCGAGCGGAGAGCCGGCCGGCGGGTGGGCGACGTCATTTCGGCGGGAAGTGCGAGAGGAGAGCGCGGTGACCGGAAGCGGGTTCCGGTGGGGCGCGCGGTTGTTATGGTAACGGGGCCCGGGGAGCCGTGAGCGTCCAACCGGAGACAGAGAGACAGAGAGAGGCCCCGCGGCTCCCAGGGTGAGGCTCGGGGTCACGGCTCAGTATACGGTCGGCTATTAGGATTATTATGGCGTCGGGTTCAGGGTATAATGGGGTCAGGTTTATGGTCGGGTTCAGGTATAATGGGGTCAGGTTTATGGTCGGGTTCAGGGTATAATGGGGTCAGGTTTATGGTCGGGTTCAAGGTTGGGTTCAGGATATAATAGGGTCAGGTTTAAGGTTGGGTTCAGGGTGTAATAGGGTCAGGTTTAAGGTCGGGTTCAGGGTGTAATAGGGACAGGTTTAAGGTCGGGTTCAGGGTGTAATAGGGTCAGGTTTAAGGTCGGGTTCAGGATATAATAGGATCAGGTTTAAGGTCGGGTTCAGGGTGTAATAGGATCAGGTTTAAGGTCGGGTTCAGGGTGTAATAGGGTCAGGTTTAAGGTCGGGTTCAGGGTGTAATAGGGTCAGGTTTAAGGTTGGGTTCAGGGTGTAATAGGGTCAGGTTTAAGGTCGGGTTCAGGGTGTAATAGGGACAGGTTTAAGGTCGGGTTCAGGGTGTAATAGGGTCAGGTTTAAGGTCGGGTTCAGGATATAATAGGATCAGGTTTAAGGTCGGGTTCAGGGTGTAATAGGATCAGGTTTAAGGTCGGGTTCAGGGTGTAATAGGGTCAGGTTTAAGGTCGGGTTCAGGGTGTAATAGGGTCAGGTTTAAGGTCGGGTTCAGGATATAATAGGATCAGGTTTAAGGTCGGGTTCAGGATATAATAGGATCAGGTTTAAGGTCGGGTTCAGGGTGTAATAGGGTCAGGTTTATGGTCGGGTTCAAGGTTGGGTTCAGGTATAATGGGGTCAGGTTTATGGTCGGGTTCAGGGTATAATGGGGTCAGGTTTATGGTCGGGTTCAGGGTATAATGGGGTCAGGTTTATGGTCGGGTTCAGGGTATAATAGGGTCAGGTTTATGGTCGGGTTCAAGGTTGGGTTCAGGATATAATAGGGTCAGGTTTAAGGTTGGGTTCAGGGTGTAATAGGGTCAGGTTTAAGGTCGGGTTCAGCTTTAGGATCGTCTGGACGACTTGATAAGGCGCTTAATCAAATGGGAGGATTATTATCCTAATTATTATTATGGAGTCGGGTTTAGAGGTTATAATAGGGGTCAGGTTTAGGGTTATAACAATCTCCCGCTCCAGGCGCTGCGCCCCTACCGGCCCCGTCCTTCACTGGCTCCCCCGTTCCTCAGAGGATCGAGTACCAAACCCTCATCCTCACCTTCAAAGCCCTCCACAGCCTCACCACCACCTCTCCGACCTCCTCACCCCGTATCAGCCCCGCCCGCCCGCCCCTCCGCCCGGCGGACACCGACCTGCTTCAGTTCCCCCGCGCTTCCCGCCCCATCGTTGGCGGTCGGGCATTCAGCATCTCTGCCCCCCCCTCCCCCCCCCACCCCCCACACGCTCTGGAGCCCTTATCCCGCAATCCCTCCGCCTCACCCCCCCCTCCCCCCTCTCTTGCCTCCTTCAAGTGGCGTCTGTCTGAAGACCTTCCTCTTCGACCCTCCCACCCACCCACACCCCGCTGACCCCCCAGCCCCTCCCGACCCCAACTCCCAGCTCGGGTCCAAAAAGCCCTGACCGTCCAGCGCCCTCTTTCCGACGTGAAGGGCGCAATAGTTGTTGTTAGAGTAGGATCAGTTTAGGGGTAGAATGGGGTCAGGTTTAGGAGTATAATAGGGACGGGTATAGACGTAGAGTGGACAAATGTAAATTTGTGGACGCATACCCTCGCTGGAAATACTGAGTGCAAAATACAGCTATCCATCTTCTAGTACAGGATTTACATCCTGTGTAATTGTTATTTTGTAAACATCTCCCTGACTAACCTGCTCTGATTTAGTGTTGCAACGTCTGCGGTAAATGGTCAGGTGAGTTTGAAATCCAGCCACGGCTCCTGAAACAAACAGTGAACATTGCTATAATGCACTGTTGATTGAATAAACAGCAAACAACCTGGATAAATATTGTGGGTTCCTCAATCTTGGGAACCTCACTGAAATCGACCCTCTGGTTCTGAAGCGTAGCAATGAGATTCCCCTTGAGTCAGCCGACTGACCGAACAAAAAAGTCCTTGCTCCTTGCTTTGCTCATTTAAATGATGGCTCCTCTCGTTGTTGTGAGCGAGGGACCTTGCTGGCTTGTTTGCCTCCATAGCCTTCACTTTGTTTCTAATTAATCTCCTGTAAATAATAATAATAATAATAATCCTTGCATTTGATATAGCACTTTTCACGTCGGGAGGACGTCCCAAAGCGCTTCACAAAATATACTGTAAAGTGAATTGACTGTTTATTTGTGGGCGAACGCGGCAGCCAATTGTGCACTGCAATGTCCCACAAACAGTCGTGGATTGAAAATGACCAATTTATTATTGTTTTTGGTTTTGGAGGGATTATTATTAGGTGTGTGGAGTAAGGAAACTTGCCCGAGGTTTCTCACTGCCTGGAATTGAACTCAGGTCTCTCACTTGCAAAGCGAGTGCTCTAACCACTGAGCTACAGGACTCCTGTAAAGACCTTTGAGATGTTTCTTTTATGTTGGTGCTCAAGTCTCAGCTTGGCTCAGTGGTCGCGCTCTCTCCTCTTGAGTCAGAAGGTTTTTGGGTTAAAATCCCACGTCGAGACTTGGAATCACATAGTCTAAGCTGACGCTCTCCAGTGCAGTGGTGGGGGTGGGGAGTTGCATAGTCGGAGGTGCCGTCCTTCGGATGAGACATTAACCCGAATCCCCGTCTGCCCGTTCAGGTGGACGTTAAAGATCCCACAGCACTATTCGAAAAGAAAAAGTGTCTTGGCTAACAGTCTCCCAAATAAAGTTGGTCATTTGTTTCATGGCTGTTCGTGGGACACCTCTATGCGCATTTGTGCATTTCATGGTAAATCCTGTGAAGCGTTTTGAGATATTTCAAAAATATGATAAGGCACTATACCAACTGCAAGAATTATTATTATTGTTATTATTATTTATAAATGAAACTAGCTGTTGTCAGTCATTGCCAATTTTTTTGGAGCAGTCCTCATCGCGAATCACTACAATTATATTCCCCCTCTGCAGCTTGCGATGCTCATTCCATAGCCGTGATCTCGCCGGACTCCAGCTGGAGGGAGGATGGCGCCTGGGAAGAGCCTCAGGTGCATGGAGCTTGCGCTGGCCTGCGAGTGGGATGCTTGCGAGTTTGTGGGGAAGGGCATGGAGGAATTCTGCGATCATGTCGCCGTGCACCTGCGGGAACACCTCACCGAGTACGACAGCTTCGGCGAGTTAGGTAAACCCCCCACACAGCTCGTCCTGCCTGATCCGATCACTACTTGTGTGTCAGCCTGGTACAGTGGTCGTACTCTCGCCTCTTGAGTCATAGTCTTACGGTCACATAGTCTTAAGCTGACGCTTCAATGCAGTGCTGGGGGTTGTTGCATTGCCGGAGGTGCCATCCTTCGGATGAGACGTTGAAACGAGGTCCCGTTTACCTATAAATACAGTCGTTCACACTTAATAGCAAATACACGTGGAATGCTTTTAGATGTTTCAGCGATACAGATGCTATATCAAATTCTAGGGTATAGAATCTTATTATTGTTATTATTTATGGTTTCAGGTACTGAAACTTCAGGTATTGTCACTTTAAGAACCTTAAAAACTTAAACATGGTTCCCTTAAAAGTCCCCTCAATGTAGTTCCTTGGTGACCTTGTGAGTAAGGAAAGCTGTCTCCCAGTACAGCACCAGCCACATCGACCAGAAGGTTGCAGGTTTGAATCCCAGTCTAATGCATAGGAACAGGAGAAGGCCACTCAGCCCCTCGAGCCAGTTCCACCATTCTACTCAATCATGGCTGATATGTACTTTAACTCCATTTACCCACTTTTGCCGCATATCCCTTGATGAATATGATTAAGCACTCCAAAATGCTGTCCTACATAAAGGGCGCTATACAAATGGAAATTTGTAGTTGTTGTTATTGATACCCTTTCCCAACAAAAATCTATTGATCACAGTCTTGAAGATGTTGAACGGATCCAACATCCACGGCCTTTTGGGGGAAGAGAGTTCCAGATTTCCACTACCCTTTTGTGTGCTTCTGATTTCACTCCTAAATGGTCTAGCCCTAATTTTAAGATTACTCCCCCTTGTTCTGGATCCAACAACAACAACTTGGATTTATATAGCGCCCTCCACGCCGGACGGCGTCTCAGAGCGCTTCACAGTAACGGATCCCGGGGGCCGAGCCGGGGGGAGGGGGGGGAAGGTGACCAAAGGCACGGTCGAAAAGGAAGGTCTTCAGCCGAGATCTGAAAATAGGAAGAGAGGGGGCGAGGCGAAGGGAGTGAGGAAGGGAGTTCCAGAGCCTCGGGGCGTAGTGGCTGAAGGCACGGCCGTCGATGGTGGAGCGGAGGATTCGGGGGACAAGGAGGAGGCCAGACTCAGTGGAGTGAAGGCAACGGGCACTGTTGTGAGGAGAGAGAAGGTCAGAGAGGTAGGTGGGTGGAGAGGAGTGGAGGGATTTGAAGACCAGAGTGAGGATCTTGAGTCACCAGAGTTAGTTGATCTCAGTCAGGGCAGCGGGACAGGGTTAAAGCTGGCCTCCGCACTCAGAGTAGGGAAGGACAATCAGTCAGAGTTTCCCGCTCCCAGTCTTTATTTAGCTCCTCACGGGAGGGTTGAGACGAGGCCAGAACTAACTGCTCTTGGTTGCGAGATCCTCTGCGGTCATGTAACCTGTTGACACTCGTCGTCAAGACTCATACAACATGAATCGATGGCTGCTTGAGCAAGACTCCAGAAGGTGACTCAGGAGATTTGAACCATACGTCAATGGAAGGAGAAAGGAGTCATAATAATAATAATCATCATATAATAATAACAATCCTTGCATTTGATATAGCGCTTTATCACGCCTTCAAAACCTTTCAAAGTGCTTCACAGAATATCCTGTAAAGTGAATTGACTGTATTTTGTGGACGAAAAGCAGCAGCCAATTGCGCACAGCAGCGTCCCACAAACATTGGATTGGGTGACCAAATTATTATTATTTAGATATTTATTTTGAAGCGATTTATTATCCAAGGAAAATCGATCCACCAATCAACTAACAACCGGGTTCCTACTTACTGCTAGGGAATAGAGTTGTGTGGAATAAGGAGACTTGCCTAAGGTTTTCCTTAACTGGGACTCGAACCCAGGTCCTCTCGCTTGCAAAGGGAGCGCTCTATCCATTACTCTACAGGACCCCAAAACCAGACTCCACAGTCATGCCTTCAACCAGAGGAGAAAACGAAGAGTAGAGAAAATGAAATTTGACTGCCAAACTTGTAAAAAAGGACAGTTTGTATAAGCTGTGCCTGATTTGATCACATTGAATTTAAACAGCAGGGGTCGGTTTGAAGCTAAGTGCTGTCGTAACCACCACCACCTCCTCCTCAGCAGTGATTCGCTGTTTAGCTCCTGTTTTAAGCTGCATTTCTCATGTAGGTTTGATTTAGAAAGAAAACCTTCCCTCGCCTCGAGCGCATTGCTTTCATCGTAATCCCTATGCACGCTCCTACCTGTCCTCAAGAAGTTACCAAAACCCAGAACAAATAATAATAAAAAAATTAAGAATAACAATACTTGCATTTGATATAGAACCTAATCACGTCTTCGAGACGTCTCAAAGCGCTTCTTAGAATATAATGTAAAGTGGATTGATTGTATATTTTGTGGGCGAAATGCGGCAGTCAATTCCACATAGCAACTTCCAAACTAAGAATTCTCTGTAATTACAATATTTACATAATCACACACAGGCAGATTTTGATTCCCGGGCAGGGCAAAACCTTAGGCAAGTTTCCTTACTCCACACGCCTCTGTTTACCTAGCAGTAAGTAGGAACCCGGTTGTTAGTCGATTGGTGGATTACTTTCTGGGGTTAATAATAAAAAATTGGTCGTTTAACCTCCCACTGTGTGTGGGACACTGCTGTGCGCAAATGGCTGCCGCGTTTCACCCACAAGATATACAGTCAATTCACTTTGCTTCACAAGAGTCTTCTTGACGACGTGATGAGGTGCTATATCGAATGCAAGGATTAGTATTATTATTAGAATTTTAGCCACAGGTGGTACTCAGAGGCGCCAACGCATTGAGACGTCTCGACGACGTGACAAAGCCCTCAAACAAATGCAAGGATTACATAAAGATCGTGCCTAATCGCGCACGGACAGGTGGTATTGGCGATGGCCCTGTATACTGCGTAGCCGGAGCAGCATCCCTGCCATTTTTCCCTTCTCATTGCAGACGAGTATCAGTGCCTGTGGCGGGGCTGTGGCTTCCTGGCGGTGGAGGGCCCTAACGAGCTGGTGGTGCACGTCAACTACCACAGTTACCACGCCAAGCTCAAGTACCTCGGGGGTGAGCTGCAGCGGCTAAGGTCTGACCTCCCCGTGTGCTCGCTGGAGAGTCAGAACCAGAACCTGATCCCCGAGATCGCTGAGACCTTTACCTGCCAGTGGGAGCATTGTGATGTGAGTACGGCTACGTCCACGAAATTACCCAATCAATCCACTTTACCATCCGCTCCGGCCTCCTGCTCGTCCCTTCGTCCTCTCCGCTCCACCATCGGCGCATGCGCTTTCTGCCACTATGCCCCGATGCTTTGGAACTCTCTCCCTCAATCCCTCCGTCTTGCGCCCTCCTTCCCCTCTTTTGGATCACGGCCTGACGACCTTCCTATTCGGCTGCGCTTACATCGAGGAATGTCGTCAGTCGTGTTCCAAAAGAGGGGCAGGAAAGGGCAAAATGGAGGGATTGAGGGAGAGAGAGTTTCAAAGCTTTGGGGTGTATTGGCTGAAAGTGCTCCGCCGATGGTGGAACAGAGGGGATGAGGGACAAGCAGGAAGCCAGAGCCCATCAATCGGGGGCAGTGGGTAGTGGAGTGGGGAGAAAGCAGGTCAGAAAGATAGGGAGGTGCCACCGGGTGAAGGTAGATGATGATGATAATAATAGATGATTATTATTATTATTATTATAATAATAGATGAGTTTGAGGATCTTGAAATCGATCCGTTCTGTGATAGGGAGTCAGTGGAGCCTGGCGAGGACTGGTGTGATGGGGATACAGAGTTTAGTGTGTGTGATGGGGAGTCAGTGGGGCCTGGCGAGGACTGGTGTGATGGGGATACAGAGTTTAGTGTGTGTGATGGGGAGTCAGTGGTGGCTGACGAGGGCTGGTGTGATGGCAGGACGTAGCTGGCTGCACATTGCCTTCCGCGTTTACCTACAAATGCATGGACACTGCGCTTGGGATGTTATCATCCAGCGTCTTGGGACGTCCTCTCGACGTGAAAGGCGCTTTACAAATGTAATTTTGTTATTGATATTGTGTTGTTACAGGCGCTATCTCAACTGCAGATGCAATAATAAATCAATAGTATATTGTTATTATTCCGCAGAGTACCTTTAATAATCCAGAATGGTTTTACCGGCATGTGGACATGCACGGCCAATGCACTGACAGAGAGACTCTTCCCAACAAAAACAAAACTATTCCCTGCTGCTGGAAAGGTAATTCAGAATTGCGCATTCAGAGGGAGAGTAATTAAGTCTGTCGATTTCATCTTGGGATCCAGTCAAGACTTTTTATCTTAAAATATACAATTTTGGAAAATTCTTGAATTCAGTCAACTTGGCTAAAATATATGCAGTCGCTACACTTTGCAGCAAATCGTGCGTAGGCGCTTGGAGACTTCCTCCCGAGGTGAATGGCACAATATCGAATGCAGGTTTTATTATAACAATTATTTTGATCTAGCAGCTTTTCATGCCTAAGTCCATACTAACAGTAAGTAGGAACCTGGTTGTTAGTCAATTGGTGGATCGTTTTCCGGGGATAATAATCCCTTCCAAAAAAATAATAATTTGGTCACTCAATCCATGAATGTTTGTGGGATTCAGCGCGTTTCACCCACAAAATATACAGTCAATTCACTTTACACCATATTCTGTAAACGCTTTGAGACGTCTCAGCAATGTGAAAAACGCTATATCAAATGAAAGGATGATTATTATGTTGACGAGACGTGTCAAGGAGCTTCACTGTGGAGTGTAATAACTATTTATTTTGTAAGCAAACTCTTTAGACAATTTGCACACAGCGATGTCCTGCGAACTGAAATATCAAAAGCGAGGATTTCTAGAATTTTAGAAGAATTTTTGCTTTAATTACTGCAAGAAACCCAACTTCCAAATTAATAATGACTCGCATTTATACAGCGCCTTTCACGCGGGTAGCATCTCAGAGCGCTTATTAAGACTGAATTGAAGGCGTTCCCACAATTCTTGTAGAGCTATGTAAAATAATAATAATCCTTGCATTTGATATAGCGCTTTTCACGTCTTCTCGACGTCTCAAAGCGCTTCATAGAATATACTGTAAAGTGAATTGACTGTTTATTTTGTGGGCTAAACTCGGCAGCCAATTGCGCACAGCAGTGTCCCACAAACAGTCGTGGGTTGAAGTGACCAAATTATTATTATTTGTTTTGTTTTTTAAGGGGAATATTATTAGGTGTGTGGAGTAAGGAAACTTGCCCAAGGTTTCGCCCTGTGCCTGGAATTGAACCCAGGTGTCTCGCTTGCAAGGCGAGCGCTCTCACCGCTGAGCTACAGGACTCCGCAACAAAATGCAACAACTTGCTTTTAGCCACTATGCCCTGAAACTATGGAGCTCTCTCTCTCTCTCAATCCCTCCACCTTGACCCCTCCATCTTTTCAGATCACGCCTGAAGACCTTCCTCCTTGACCGTGCTTACGGTCACCCCCCCCCCCCCATTCACTTCCATTCCCCCTTTTCCCTTGCTCGGCCTCCAACCCTGGCACCGGGCTGCACTCTGAGATCTTATCCTACGCGAAGGCTGCAGTACAAAGGCAAACTGTTGTGGTTTTGTAGTTGTATAAATTGTAGTCAGTGTTACTTGGACCCTCTCTTGACCACCACCACCACCACCAGCCCTGGCCTGAGTGAAGGTCGGATTTGCTCCTCTTTCTTGTGTTTTATTTGAGTGTGTTGCTAACGCTCCAGGTTGCGACGCTTGCTTCAGAGTCAAGTTTAAGCTGCGGGAGCACCTGCGCAGCCACACCCAGGAGAAAATCGTCTCGTGCCCTAACTGCGGGGGCATGTTCTCCAACAACACCAAGTTCTACGACCACGTCCGCCGGCAGACTTCCATCGAGCGTGAGTATTACATGCTGCTCCCAACGTCAGTCTCCGTTTTTACCGCGTTCGCCTACTTGTACACCGTGGAGTCCTGTAGCTCAGTGGTTGCCAGAGCACTCGCCTCGCGAGCGAGAGGATCCGGGTTCAATTCCCGGGCAGTGTGAAACGTTGGGCAAGTTTCCTTATTCCCCACCACCCCCCCCGCACTCTGTTTTCCTAGCAGTAAGCAGGAACCTGGTTGTTAAGTCGATTGTCAGATCGCTTTTCTGGGAGTAATAATCCCTTCACAAGATAGATAAATAAATAATTATAATTTGGTCACTCAATCCATGACTGTTTGTGGGGCACTGATGTGCACAATTGACTGCTGCGTTTTCCCACAAAATATACAGTCAATTCACTTTACGGTATATTCTGAAGTGCTTTGAGACATCTCAAAGACATGTAAAGGCGCTATATCAAATGCAAGGATTATTATCACACCACAGTCCCTACAGCTAGAGTAAAATCCTGTGAAGTGCTTTGAGACGTTTCCACGATAAAATCATAATAATAATTAAAATGATAGTAATAAGAATAACAATCCTTGCATTTGATATAGCTTCTTATTATGTCATCGAGACTTCTCAAGGCGCTTCAGCGAGTAGAATGTAAAGTGAATTGACTATATTTTATGGGCGAAACACGGCAGCGTCCCACAAACAGTCGTGGATTGAGTGACCAATGTATTATTATTTATTTTTGAAGGAATTATTACCCCCGGAAAAGCGATCCGCCAATTGACTAACCACCGGGTTCCTCCTTACTGTTAGGTAAACAGAGGGGTGTAGAGTAAGGAAACTTGCCCAACGTTTCGTACTGCCCGGGAATTGAACCCAGGTCTCTTGCTTGCGAGGCGAATGCTCTAACCACTGAGCTACAGGACTCCACGGATGGCCACAGTGCTGACCCAAAGGCAGTGCTATCCAACAACAACAATAATAGCTTGCATTTATGGGGCGCCTTTCAAGCGGGGTAGTTCGCTTAAAGAAGAGAACGTCTATTTTCTTTTAAGATCTACAGGGATAAGGCTCGAGTTACGTTCCTCTGTTTTCGTTTTGGGTGTTAGGTTTATTTGGGTGGCAGATTCGAATCAGGTCTTTGCATCAGGTCTGGGATAAGGCCACATTGGCAAAGGGCGCTGTATTAAGCGCAAGGATTATCACAATTCAGAATCTAAATTAACAACACAGTCAAAAAATAGGATAATGATGATTTGGAAATAAATAACATTGCACCTTCTAACCTGTGGGACCCCTGTGCTGTAAATGGAGTCCCTCTGGCTCAGTTAGTCACTCAATCTTACGTCATGAGTCAGAAGGTTGTGTTGTGGAATGAAGCCCCACATCGTATAGTCCTGGCTTACACTCCAATGCACTGCTTGAGTCCTCCTGACGTGAAAGGCGCTATACAAATGTAATCTTGTTGTTGTTGAGGGAGCGCTGCATTGTTGGAGGTGCCGTGGTTAGGAGGAGACATTAAACTGTGCCTGTTCAGGTTCATGATCAAGATATTTGGAAACAGAAGGGAGCTCAAGCCAACAATCCCCAGATAAAATGTGTCATTGACTTCATGGCTCTCTGCGGGTCATTGCTGTGCACAAATTAGCTGCTGTGTTTGCCTTCAAATTACACACTTTATCCTGGGAAGCAGTTTGAGGTGTCCTCCCCTCGACACGATAGGTGTTGTATCAAACGTAAGGATTATTATTATGGTAAGGAATTCACAGTGTGTGGGCGTTGTTATATGTGAGAAAACACGCTGGCTTCTGAACGTGCAAGAAGGAACATCACTTGTCCAACAGAGCTCATGTATTTGTTATTTTACTTTATCTCTTTATGCCTCACTTAAATATTGAAAGTGATCTGCTCAATGGACCACATAACATTCCCCCCCCGTAGCTATCTCAGTTCCCGAGAACAGGTGATTTAAAGGGCTCTTCCTTCATCTCACTTTAACTATTGTCAATCTTTTCTATCCAACCATTGAGTTTCCTAATTCAGTGTGTGTATGTGTTCCCACCCACTCCCACATTTCTTGAATTTTAGTGTAAGGGACCGTCCTGAAAATGCCATAGTTCTGAAGGGGTAATAAAACTTAAGCGTGGTTGTTTAAGTTTGTTTAAGCTTAAGGAAGTCTTGTGGTCTTAGAGCACGCTCACGTTGTGCGAGAGAGCACACGGGTTCAATTCTCTGGCACAGCGAAACCCAAGGCAAGTCCCCTTAATCCACACGCATCTGTTTACCTAGCAGTAAGTAGGAACCTGGTTGTTAGTCGATTGGTGGATCGCTTTCCTGGGGTAATAATTCTTTTAAAAAAATAATAATTTGGCCACTTAATCCACGTGTGTTTGTGGGACACTGCTGTGTGCAATTGGCTCACAAAATACACAGTCCATTTACTTTACAGTATATTCTGTGAAGTGCTTTGAGACGTCTCAACGTCTTTTCCCAACGTCGACATGGTCAGGGGCTATATCAAATGGAAGGATTATTATTATATTGAGGTGGAGCTCTAAATACAGTTTTCCTGGGGGTGTAAGGGACTATCCATAAAATGTCATAAGTACTGGAGGGGAATTGAAAATTAAATGTTTTTAATGTCCTGTTATTGGATGGGAGCATTAATTCATTGTTTTTTTTCTGATCACTTCTCTTTGCTGGTGTCTGTCAGCCCGGCTCAGTGGTAGCACACTTGCCTGCAGTTTGGAAGGATGTCGGTTCAAGACTTTGAGCTCACAGTCTAGGCTGACATTTCAGTACATTGTGCGGGAGGGAACTCCCCTGAGTTGTCGGAAATCCTTCTGTTGAGATGTTAAATCGAGGTCCCGTCCATGCATGTTCAGCTGGATGTTAAAGGTCCCTTGGCACTATTCGAAAGAGAGGAGAGTTACTCCCAATTTCTTTATTTGGGGGTCAGCCGGGTGTCTGACGGAAACCCATCACCGGGCTTAAGATTATCCAAACCAAACTGAGAATTCCATGCGTCCACCCTCACATGGAAATCCCAGAGATAGATTGTTGGAATGGAACACGCACTCTCTCTCTCACTGGAGGGATGCATCCTGCTGACCTAATTCCAGAAAATTTTAGGCGCAGGTTGGTAAGAGCCAAGGCTTAGGGACCCCAGAGTGTGCGTTGGGGGAATCCCTGGAGTCTAACCAGCTAAAACCACATTAGCTTGCCATTGATATCACTGTCTGGCAAGCTTTCCCGCTGCTTGTCCAGCGAGGACCACCCTATCCATTGGGGCTTTGGCTTGCAGGGTTAACAGGAGCTGAGTGGGATTCTGATGTCCTGGCCAGCATTCCTGTAGAGTCTCAATATATTGGAATTCCCTTCATGCCTGTTTGAAATTGAGCTAGGTGCAACAACAGCAATTTACATTGACGTAGCACCTTTCACATCGCGAGGTTGTCTCAATGGGTTTTAGACAGCTGAATGGGAGGTGGTTGAAAAGATAGGTCTTAAAGCGGATTTTAAAGGTGTGCAGGGAAGGGGTGAGGCGGAGGGATTCCGGGACGGAGCTCTACGGGGGTGTTGGGGAGAAAATACACAGTCGCTATACTTGAGAGCAATTACCTATGCAGCACTTTTGAGCCGTTTGAACTTTATACGCGTTCAAACATCTTCAAAAGTTACAGGACTTTGTGGCGTCACTATTCACAGTTGCCTGTGGTTGTGTTTGACTTTAGAGAAGACCTTTCCCTGTCAGCACTGTGACAAACATTTTGCCAACGAGCGGCTCCTGCGGGACCACGTGCGAAACCACGGTAAGTCAGCGCGCGTTTGTGACTGCGCCTTTCACCCACAAAATTCACTTTACAATATATTCTGTGAAGCGGTTTGAGACGTCCCAACGACGTGATAACGCGTTACATCAACTGCAAGGATTATTATCATTTTAACGTGTCCCCTTGTCTCCGCAGTGAACCAGTTCAAATGCCCACTCTGTGACATGACCTGCACCACCTTCTCCTCCCTCAGGACCCACATCAAGTTCCGCCACTGCGACGAGAGGCCGTACCCGTGTGACTTCTGTGAGAACAGGTAGAGAGAGCGCCGCAGCAGCACTTCCCGTAGTCTAGCACTACTTCCTGCTTTGTTGGGGCCATTTGTGGCTTGTGAAAGCTACCTTTTCTGATACGTGTGTCACTCTGAACAAGCCAGCTGGTAATTTATTTGCATCCTCTTCTCCTGAAGCGGCTAACATGTTCTCAGTGTTCAGGAATGCCGGTACCTTTCCAATGTCTTGTCCAAATGACCGTGCTTCAAATGTGAGTCTGGGCATAATCCGCTAACAGTCTCCAATCCGCTCCTCTCGACTCTCCCTCATTCCCTTCACCTCGACCCCCCACCCCCCCACCCTTCCCCATCTTCAAGTCGCACCTGAAGACCTCTCTCTTTGACCGTGCTCGCCCAAGTCATACATCTGCCCAAGTCCCGTTCAAGAGTTTATATTCAATGCAAGTTTGACGTAACTCCTAACTTTGCATGAGTCAGATTAAAGGTCTGGTCCCAAGTGATGCGACTTATGTGAGGTTCACTGTACAAATGCAAGCTGTTCTGGTTGGGCATTCAGTATCGTCTGCCTACTTTCCTGTGGGTGATGCCCTCTTTGACTACCACCTCTCCACTTTACCAGCCAGGGTTCACTCACTGGAGAAGGATTGTGAGTCTGAGGTCAGGTGTACACGCCCTAACCACGATCAGCAAACTTAGCACATGATCGATCAGCAAACTTGGCACGGAACTGAGGTGTGAAAATCCTCAGTCTTAGCCCAAGCACCTCCCCATCTCTCTGATTTTCTCCTCCCCCTTTCCCCTGCTCATTCCCACAGCTCAGGTAACTCTGGCCTACTGCGTAGCCATACTTTTCCCCCCCGTCACCATCGGTGGCCGGGCCTTCAGTCACAATGCCACTAACTTCTGGATCTCCCTGCCTCAACCCTGCTCTGTTTGAATCCCACCTTAAAACTTCAGCCGCACCTGCAGTCTCCCTTGCTCAGCACCCGACCACGCCACTGTGAAGCACTCCCTACGTGAAGGGCGCTACATAATAATAATCCTTGCATTTGATACCGCCCCTCATCACGGCGTTGAGACGACTGAAAGCGCTTCCTTCACGGGATATACTGTAAAGTGGAGTGACTGTGTATTTTGTGGGCCAACCCCGCAATATATTATACAATTTGTTGCTGTTGTGTTGTGGAAACGTCTTAAATTCAGCCTGCGGTTGGAAGCCGGTTCTCAGAACTCTTTTTGCTTTTGCTGACTGCAGAAAATTCCAAATTGAGACTGAATTAGATTATTGTGCAAAGCTAGGCCGCCACCCTTTTGAGCAATGGCTTTTTTTTGGTCTTGCGCTCGTTCACTTGTGTGCATCTGCGGGGGAGGATCAGATTGAACAAGCTGCAGCTTGCTGAGCGTGATCCTACTATGTACCACCATGACCACGAATCTTCATTACACAAGGAAGCTGGCTTCCCTGAAGTGGAATCACAGAATTTACTGAGATCTGGTTCAGGAGAGAGGGCCTGAATAATATTAATATTAACAATAATAATTCTTACTTTTGATGTCGCGCCTTATTGCGTCGTTGAGACGTCTCAAAGCGATTCTATGGGATATACTGTAAAGTGTATTGACATATTGACTGTATAACGTGGGCGAAAGGCAGCAGTCAATTGCGCACAGCAGTGTCCCACAAATAAGTCATGGATTGAGTGACCACATTTTTTCTTATTGAAAGGATTATTACCCCCAGAAAGTGATCCAGCAAACGTCTAACAACCGGGTTCCTACTTACTGCTGCGTAAACAGAGCCGTGTAGAGCAAGCAAGCTTGCCTAAGGTTTGCCTCGCCTGGGAATCGAACCCAGATCCTTACACTTGTGAGGCGAGCTTGCTAACCACTGAATTACAGCACCACCTGAGTGACTCACTGCTTTTCCAATGGAAGAGGAAGGGATGGAAGCAGTCCTGTTCCTCCTTTGCTTTTCTCATCCAGTCCTATGTTGCCACTTACAGCTTTAAGAACTTATATGATCTGCGGAAGCACATCGAAACGCACAGTGATGAGCCCACGTACCACTGCAGCTCTGAGGGCTGCGAGTTCACAGCACGCACCGTGCAGACACTCAAACAGCACTACAGGAAGGTCCACGAGGTAAGTGGTCCCATTGCTAACCCGGACGTATATGTGATGGGCGAGTAATGAATTCAAGGCTATGCCTAAAGCTGTCCATTCCGAATTTAAGGAACAATAATAAGTATCCTGGCATTTGATACGTCGCCTTGTTATGTCGTGGAGACGTTTTAAAAATAGCTTCACAGAATATTACTGTCAAGTGGATTGACTTGTGTATTTCGTGGGTGAAATATGGCAGCCAAGTCCGCACAGCGGCGTCCCACAAACCGCCCTGGAGCAAGTGACCAATTTTGTTTGTGTAGAGGAATGTTGGCCAAGACATTCCAGGAGAGAGAAACTCCCTTCTCTTTTCGAATAGAGCCATGGGATCTTTGACACCCTCTTGAACAGGCAGGGTGTTAGAAAGGGTGCTAAGTGTGTTTTGAAATACCACCCCCACCGACTTGCGAACAACATACAGAGACTAAACCAAGGTAAAATGGTATTCTTTGTTTCACGCCAAAGTGGCCTAACTACCTAACTGAAAGTGAGCTGAGGCAGTGTCCCCTGACCCAGTATCCTGAGGCCGTTTTCTGTTCTTGCAAACTAGGTTGGGGTGGGGGGGAATATTCAGGCCCCGAATAAAAGTGGTGTAACAAGTTTGTCCCAGTAAACGCTGCTCTTATCTGTGCAGCATCCTGCCTCCTAGATCAAAGTATGCTATACTGGAGAATACTTCATTCACACCAGACACCGAGGCTCCTGGAGAGATGATTTAAGATCGATAAGGAGACACTTCCTCCAATGAGTGGCACTAGATGCTACAGATCTGCACTGATTGAAGACAGTCAGTGTCTCTCTGTGAGGCAGAGTTTGTCAAGACATTCGTGGCTTCAGGAATGATCCTCTTCTCCCACCTCCCAACCAAGTGGCAAGCAGATGATCAGTCACATCAAAGTGCTGGCAAAAAAAAACCAAATCTGCCAGTTTGTGGCTGGGATTATTCTCCTTGGAGCAGAGAAGATTAAGTGGAGATTTAATACAGTTGTTCAAAATTATGAGGGGTTTTGGTTGAATGAATAGGGAGGAAACTGTTTCCACTGGGATGGTAACCAAAGGACACAGATTTAAGATGATGGGCAAAAGAACCAGAGGGGAGTCGAGGAGAATCTGTTTTAGACAGAATTATTATGGTCTGGAATGCACTGCCCGAAAGGGATTTCGATAGGTACTTAAAAAGGGAAAAATTGCAGGGCTACAGGGTAAGAGCGGTGGGGAGTGGGACGAGTTGGATGGCTCTTTCAAAGAGCCGGCACAGGCGCGATGGGCCGAATGGCCTCCTTCTATGCTGTAAAATTCTGTGTTTCTATTGCAACAATGGAGAAAATCACAGGTTGGTGTCCCAACCTATCCTCAGCAGCCATTCACACACAGACTGGATCACTCAAATAATAAACCTCGCATTTGATATAACATTGAAACGCCTTTCCAGCTCGTCAGAGGGAATTGCTTTATTGTTATTATTATAATTGGGCGTTCCCCTCGTGACCATTTCTGGGACTTTGCTGCTTGCACGTGGCAAAAGTACAGGCACGTTTCCATGTACGTAGGAATGCTATCTGGTTTGGATTCTCTTCAAGCGCTGTGATGGGTTTCTGCTTGTTTCGAACATGCGGTTGACCAAAATAAATGGCAAGCCAATGTGATGTTGACCAGGCTTCTGGCTGCTTTGGCTGGTCAGGTTCAGTAATTACACTGTTTCTTTAAACCAGTTTTATTTGTTGCTGTGTAACTGGGTGAAGCCAGATATGAGCTGCCTCCCAGTGAGCGGATGTAAACATTTTATCCTTGAAAGGAATTGGACACAAAATCTGTCTGTCTCTTGGTGAAGAAAAACTGCAGGGAAGACCTTGTACAGGGCGTCCACAAAGTCCTGTTACTTCCTTTCCCCTACAGTGCACTGACCAACAACTGAAACATGTGGAAGAATGATGATAATTATATTTTGAAGTACTTAATTGTTTTCATACGTCCAGAGGATGGGTGGGAGTGAGTGAGCGCCATCATTTTCACGTCAGATAATGATCTTCGGTGCTACATCTTCCGTAACATGGATGGAGCGAGGAGGCCAAATGATAACCTCTCCGTCATCTTGTTTCAGCTTCTCCGTAGTCTCATATCTCCCTCGTGAAGGGGGGGTGGGTGGTGTACTTCCCCAAACTGCGCTATGGCAGTAGGGTGGCAAAGATAACGCCTTGATTTAATGTGCAAAAAAAAAAAACCACAAACAACACCACAATGCATGTATTCTCTCTCGTCTCCAGGGTGAAACAAAGCCTCGATACAAGTGTCACATCTGTGACAAGTGCTTCGCCTGGGCCTACACCCTAACGATGCACCTCCGCAGGTCGCACCAGCTGAAGTGGCCTTCTGGGCATGCACGGTTCAGGTACGGGAATCCGACCCACCCACCGGAACGAGAATCAGGGAGTGAGCTCCAGGGCGTTAACTTGGAATGATTACTGCCTCTGTTTACTGCAGCGAAGCAAGATTCTATTATTAGAACATAGTAATAATAATAATCCTTGCATTTGATACAGCGCCTTATCACGTCGTCGAGACATCTCAAATGCTTCACAGGATATACTGTAAAGTGAATTGTGTATTTTGTGGGCCAAACGAGGCAGTTAATTGCGCAGGGTCCCGCCTGCTGCGTGTAGTGTTTGTAGATACTGTTGCTGACCAGTGTCTACAAACAGTCGTGGATTGAGTGACCAAATTATTTTTTTTTTTAGGAATTTATTTTTGTTTTGAAGGGATTATTACCCCAGGAAAAGCAATCCGCCAATCGACTACTGACCGGGTTGCTACTTATTGCTAGGTAAACAGAGGCGTGTAGATTAAGTAAACTTGTCCACGTTTTTCCCTGACCGGGAAACTAGTCCCACTCCCCTGCTCCTCCGCCCCCCCCCCCCCCATAGCCTTGAAAGTTTTTCTTTTTCATGTATGTATCCAATTCCCTTTTGAAAGTTATTATTGAATCAGCTGTCAATTGAAGCAGTGAATTCATAACAGCTGTCAGAATCCGTAAATAGAACCCGAGGGTTATTTGTGAGAATGAAATCGCACACTGCGTTAGAATGATTGAAGAGCTTTCCTCGTCTGAGGCTCAGATGTCCCAACAAGACTGGACCTGTTAGTGCCTTTGTCTCGAGACTTAAGATTGTACAGACATGTGGAAATTCTTAAATTCAATCTTAAATGGATGCCGGTTCTTTCTTTAATGAGCGCGGAACAAACAGCTTCCAAACGAAGCCTGAATCTTAAGAATTTTTCTGCATTCAATTTTAAGGCAGAATAATCTCGCGGGCTAAGACTAGGTGGAATTTCAGGGCTCTGCTGAGCAGGAGCTCAAAAGATGTCAAAGAAAAATGATTGGGGAACTTGACCTCACCGAGTGAATTGACTCACACCAACAGGTCAGATCAAAGATCACTCGTGTGGACACGAAAACTGCGTGTGTCACGCTGGTTACAGCAAAAATACAGTCACTATACCTCACAGTGAAACCCTGTGAAGCTGCCAAACACAAGTATTATTTTATTTACTGGAGCTAGCTCCGAATTTGGACTCCAGTTTAATAACAGCAGCAACAACAACAACTTGCTTCTATATGGCGCCCCTTACTCGGGGTAGTGTCCCAGAGCTTCTCATCCAAATGACGGCACCTCGGACAATGCAGTAACCAGCCCTCCCCCCCCCCCCACCCACCCTTAACCCAAGCGCTGCATTGAAGTGTCAGCTTAGACCATGCGATTTCAAGTCCCGATGTGGGGCTTGAACCCACAACCTTCTTATTTCTAGCGCTACCACTGAGGCCCGGCTGTTCGTTGCCAGAATCTGCTCTGTTGGATTGTCTTTGTTGCCAGAAGGCAGGAAGGAATCAATGAGCTGTTCCGTTTTGTGTCGGCCTAGATACAAGGAGAACGTGGACGGATATTTGCAGCTGCACATGGTTCGCTACGAGACTGAAGAGCTGACCCAGCAGATCATCAAAGACCTGGAGAAGAGGCGAGTGCCGCCGGCAACCAAGCCCCCGGAGACTCGTCTCCCCGCCAAGTCTCGGCGCCAGGCACTGCCGCCCGAGCCCTCGGCATTGGAGCCCGCCATCACCACCGACAACCTCTGCCCCGGTCAGCACAACGCCCCCCCGCCAGAAATCTTGCCCGCAGCTCCCGCTCCCGTCCAGCGGCAAGCGGCGCAAACGCCAAAGGGGAACGCCGCTGGGGTGGAGGCTGCGGGAAGCGAGTCTCCGGTTTATTGCGAGCTCAGGAACATCAGACAGGGTGTGGTGGAGGAGCCCGGCGCTGCCCCGGGAACAAGACGGGCAAGAGCATCTTTGGACCCAGCGGAAACGCTGGAGAAAGTAGCCAGAGGACTTGGAATCCAGATCATTGGCTAAATGTGATCGGGCCTGAAGCTGGTAATGTCTGATCCTCTTATCTTTACCCAATAGTTGCCAACACAACAATAACAACAATAATAATATTAATAATAACAATCCTTGCATTTGATATAGCACCTTTTCACGTTGGTGAGATGTCTCAAAGCGCTTCACAGAATATACTGTGAAATCAACTTGACTGTATTTTGTGGGTGAAACGCAGCACACAACAGCGTCCCACAAATAGTCGTGGATTGAGTGACAACATTTTTTTTTTGTGAATGGATTATTACCCCCTGAAACACGACCCAGCAATCGACTAAACCCGGTTCCTACTTACTGCTAGGTAAACAGAGGCGTGTGGAGTAAGCACACTTGCCTATAGGTTCGCCCCGCCCCGGGAATCGAACCTGGTTTTCTCTCGCTTGTGTAGCAGGAGCGCTAACCACTATGCTACAGTCCTCCTGCTACAGAACCCCAACACAAGTGGGGTTTCGACACTCCCCTCGCTCGTCTTCATATCCTTTCATGCCCTCCCTACCTCTCCGACCTGCTTACTCCCCATTCCATTACCCGCCACCTCTACTCGACCGGCTCCAGCCTCCTGCTTGTCCCTCGTGCCCTCCGCTCCACCATTGGCGGCCGCGCTTTCAGCCACTACACCCTAATTTCTCTGGAACGCTCCCTCAAACCACCCGCCTTGCCCCCGCCTTCCCCATCTTCAGGTCGCGTGTCTTCAACCGTGTTTAAGGTCACCTTCCCACTCCCTCCGGCTCGGGGTCATGCTCCACAGCCACTGTCAAGCGCTGTGAGACGCTACCCTGTGTGAAGAACACTGTATAAATGGATGCTGTTGTTTCTGGGCGTCTTATTACCAGAGGGTGTGAGAAAGTACAAAGCACCCAAACCCCTCCACAGCTTAGGTATCGACCCAGCAGGATGAAGCACTTTAAGACGTCCTAATCTCCCTATTAGGCTTCACAAGCCTATCACCCCTGTCCTCGCCTGGCTCCACGTGCTCCCCATCCTCCCAGAGGATCAAGTTCAAGATCTTTGTCCTCACTTTTAAATCCCTACCTCTGCGACCCATCAGCTCCCCCTAGTCGGCAGACTGGCTTATGAACCCCCTCCACCCTGCCCAACCCACCATCAGCAGTCGGGACTTCAGCCTTTATGCCATCACTCTCTGGCACGCCATCTTTTGCCGCGCTCCTTCCTTCGCCTACTTCAAGGTCCTTCGGTCATCTCCCTCTCCTCTCCCCCCTCACCCACCTACCCACCCCCTTGGGACCAGAGAGTCAGTGTAGACTGAGTTCAAGGTTCCAACGTGGGGTTTGAACGCTCAACCTTCCCCAAGTGAAAGGCGCAATACCAAATGCAAGAATTATCATGATGAGCGTCCTAATGATCAGTTGCTGCTCCAACCTTTATCTTCTGTTCTTTGACAGGCTGGACAACCTTGCACTCTACAACTGAAGTGGACAGACCTCTGTTGGATGTGAGGCTAAACCCAACACCACTTCTCCAGCTGTTAAAACTCTTCAGGACACAGATCCATCCTTGAGTCTTGCAGTGCTTCTCTCTTTGCTGCAATAGTTCCACCTTGTTAGATTTTACTTAGCACTTAAGGTGTAAGTTCTTGACAAATATATTTGAAATTCTAAATTTTACCTGCAGCTAAGACATCTGTCTTTGCATTTGGCTTCTTTCATGCTGTGACGAAAATAATCTAATTGATCGGGGGAAGGTGAGCGGGTAGAGATGAGAAGAGATGACTTTAAAAAACTGAACTCCTACCTCAGGGAACAAGGCAAACAAACCAATTTCGTAATAAAGCTACTAGGAGTTAGTATTTGTGGTACTTTGAATGTTGATGTTTTAGTAAGGCTCTTATTTTCTACTGCCTTCTGAAGCGTGAAGGATTTTGATTGGGTATATATTTTTTTTGAAGGATTATTATCCCCAGAAAAGCGATGTGCCAATCGACTAGCAACCGGATTCCTACTTACTGCTAGGTAAGCAGAGGCGTGTGAAGTAGGAAACTTGCCCAATGTTTCATCCTACCCAGGAATCAAACTCAGGTCCTCTCGCTTGTGAGGCGAGTGCTCTCACCATAGAACAATAGCAGAATAAGCTTCAAGCATGCTGTGGCCAGATTACACAGAACATGACAGAGCTTTAAACGTTTTTATGTATGTGTTTTACTATCGTTTCTAATTAGTTCATGCAAGAGACCAGGAAGAGGAGGGAGAGTGCTTTGGCTAACATCTAACTCAGGACTAGCCATGAGAACGCAAGGCAGAATAGTGAACTCTGGGATCACTTTACACTGCGGCTGCTCTCCCATCATTGCAACAGTGAACTCTAGTTGGTTTTGCAGGAGGTGATTGTTTCTCTAGAAGAAGCAAATTGCCTTGCGGGTTGCTCTTTGTGCACAGGACAGACCTGAGATCAGGCACACTCTGTGTTTTTATAAGTCATTTTAAGGAGCGTTTTAAGTTGAGTAAATCGCTGTACACTCTCCCTTCGCTGTCTGATCGCAGATTCACCACCGAGGCCTGAACAACGGTGGCTGGGAGACCAATAGTACTTCTTTAACACAAGTTGCAGGGCAGAAGTTTGAGGACAAGACCTAGTTATTAGTACTCCACTTCGCAGTAAATCCCGTGAAGCGCTTTGAGACGTGCTCCGACTCAAAAGGCTCCATCTTAAATGCAGAGATTTTTTTTTCTTTTAAATCTCCTCCTGACCGTCTGTTTACCTGATTATGTAACGGACTCTGCCTGTCGAACTAAAACCTGCGTCTAGAGTTTTCAGCACTGCAGTCCTTCAGTGTTCTGTGGGTAAAGGTTGGATGAGTGCAGGATCAGCGCTTTGGGACATCCTCCTGATCTGAAAGGCGCTATACAAATGTAATTTGTTGTTATTGGTGTCAGGAACCATTTGTTGAGTCAGTCTTGGCTTGTACCTTCCAGGAATGTTTACAGGAAGGATTTTTTAATATATTTTTTACAATCTGTACGTGCTTCAGAAGTGGAAATTATTCCCGTCGCTGTGTCTGACCCATTCTGACCCATTTGCTTTTACAGAGAAAAATCTTTTTTTAAAAAAAGAAATAGAAAAAAATGTCTTCATTGGTGCATATTGTATACGCAGATTCAATTGAAGACCTTTGATACGTTTGTAAGTTAGGACTTGTTTAAAATGCCATATTCCTTTCTGACAGCATCAGTCACACACCGGGATTGTGGACTTCAATATGCTTGAGGCATCTGTGCTCCGTTATAGTCTCAAATGACACTCTAAGCATTCTCCCCTCGGAGACGCAAGGTTTTGGGGGTTTAAGCCCCATTGTCGGGGGACTTTGAGCTTATAGTTGACATCAGTGCAGTTGCAGGGGTAGCACTGTACTGTTTGAATGATGAGTTAACCCGAGGCCCCTTCTGACGTGAAAGGCTCTATGTAGAATCATAGGATCTTACAGCAGTGAAAAAAAGAGGCCCAACGTGCCTTGAAACCACAGTTAAACCTGTTTCAGTTCTTTTTTAAGCTCCCTTGCTTCAAGCCCCGTCTCAAGATCCTCCTCTTCGACCGCGCGTTCGATCACCCTCCTCCCTGCCCTCCAACCCTCCTGATCCCAACCCCTAGCTTGGATGCAAATCCTTAACTGTCCAGCGCCTTGGGACGTGCTCCTGACGTGAAGGGCCCCATGCAAATGCAATCTGTTGTTGTTAGATTCAATAAAGTAATAAATCAATTACAAAAATACAAATCGTTACTATTTTCTCCAGCCAAACATTTGTGCGGGCCAAAGGGTAGACTTCTGATGCCCACAAGACTCGATCTAGCCACTAAAAAGGGCGTCTGTACCACGGCAGGGCTAAAATGGTGACCTCTTGTTGCTTTGGACAGGTGGTTGCTGAAGAGAGGTGGTTGCATTGACGGGTTTGACTAATTACCGTGAAATGCTCTGTGAGACCTTTTGATTTGACCAGGGCTATAAAAGTTCTTTCTTATTTAGCTCGAAGCCACTACCGGGGAATCCTTAACCTACCTGTTTGCTGGATTTGCAGGGAAATCTTCGGGACATTACAGCAACAACCTGCATTTATATAGCGCCTTTCGCAGCATCTCAGAGTTCCGTGAAAGGTGGTGTGTAACTGCAAGTTGTGGCCAACTCGAGTCTGACTACAATCCACAGCAGGTTGGTAGTTAACCCTGTAAGCCAAACCCGCTGCTTGTCCAGCTAGGACCACCCTCCCTAAAGCAGCAGGAAAGTGTGTATTACCTGGTTGGACTCCCCATCAGTTACCCCAACGCACACTCTGGGGTCCCCCAAGCCTTGGCTGTTGCCAACCTGTGCCTAATACTTTCCGGAATTGGGTGAGCGGGATGCGTCCCTCCAGGGGGAGAGAGAGTGCGCATTCCATTCCAACAATCTCTCTGGGGTTTCCATATGTAGGTGGGATAATAATAATATAATAATAATAATCCTTGCATTTGATATAGCGCCTTTCACATCGGGAGGACATCCCAAAGCGCTTCACAGAACACACTAAAGTGAATTGACTATATTTGTGGGCGAACGCGGCAGCCAATTGCGCACAGCAATGTCCCACAGATTGAAAATGACCAATTTATTATTGGTTTTGGTTTTGGAGGGATTATTATTAGGCTCTGTGTGGAGTAAGGAAACTTGCCCGAGGTTTCGCCCTCTGCCTGGAATTGAACTCGGGTCTCTCGCTCGCAAAGCGAGTGCTCTAACCACTGAGCTACAGGACTCCACGGATGCATGGAATTCTCAGTTTAGTTCGGATACTCTTCAAGCACAGTCACTCCACTTTACAGTATATTATGCAAAGCGCTTTGAGACGTCTCAATGACGTGATAAGGCACTATATCAAATGCAAGGATCATTATTCTCTCTCTTCAAAGCTGAAGAACTCCAATCCATTGAGGTGTACACAGTTCAGGAATGATCAGAGCTTGAGATTCAGCTTGAGCATGAACTTTTGGAAACCCGAACTCTACTGATTAGGCAATGTGGCACAACATTTCTCTTATTGCCTCATACTCTGTTTACAAGGTGGGCAACGAGTCACCCAACGCCCTCTGGGTGTTTCAATTCGTTCCCCGTGACAAGTTCCATCCCATACATGTCGTACATGCACCTTACCTTCTATTTTGATCGCTCTTTGCACTTAACATTAAAGAGTTGAGGCTTGAACTGGATGAATACACAAGGGTGGAGTGTATTCCCTGTCCTGTCTTGCAGAAAGCTAAGACGTGGATTGTAAAATCCACCCCACACAAAGGAGCTGACTGAGGCATGGGGCTTGCCAGAACTTGTACACATCATGGGATCGCCTTTCTACTGCAAGCTTTTGGTGTGAAGTCATACACTGCTCCGTGAAGTAAATGTGTACACATCCAGGCTGACTCTTGCCTCCAAACCATTGTCTTGCCTTGGGTGGAGGAGGACGCAGAACTGACTGGCAAAAGGATTAAAAGACTCCCAACTTGCCTCACACAAACATATCCCTCCCACAGCAATCCGTCCATCTCCTAATAATCTTTCCAGTCTCCTCCATCTCTGTTTGGTTGGTGCCCTCTGCTATTCTGACTTCTCTTTCCTCGCTCCTGTTCCAGTGATGACCAAGATTTGAATCACTGTTCCTCCTTCTTTTCTGGAACTTCCTCACCCCCAAAGTCTCTTTGCCTTGTGTCCTGTCTCCCCGCCTTCAAGACCTTCAGAACAACTTGCATTTGCCAGTGGAGTCCCGTAGTGTTGGCACGCTCGCCTCGCAAGCGAGAGGACCCGGGTTCGATTCCCGGGCAGGGCAAAACTTAAGGCAAGTTTTCTTACTCCACACACCTCTGTTTACCTAGCAGAAAATAGGTACCTGGTTGTTAGTCGATTGATGGATTACTTTCTGGAAGTAAAAAAAAATTTGGTCACTCCATCCTTGACTGGTTATGGGACACTGATGTGCGCAATTGCCTGCCGTGCTTCTCCCACAAAAATACACAGTCAATCCACTTTACAATATATTCCGTGTAGCGCTTTGAGATGTCTCAACGACATAAGGTGCTATAATAATAATAATCCTTGCATTTGATATAGCGCTTTTCACGTCTTCTCGACGTCTCAAAGCGCTTCACACAATATGCTGTAAAGTGAATTGACTGTATATTTGTAGGCGAAATCGGCAGCCATTTGCACACAGCAGCGTCCCACAAACAGTCGTGGATTGAAGTGACCAAATGATTCATTTTATTTTATTCTTGAGGGATTATTCTCAGGCGTGTGGAGTAAGGAAGCTTGCCCAAGGTTTCGCCCTGCCGGGAATCGAACCCAGGTCTCTCGTTTGCGAGGCGGGTGCTCTAACCACTGAGCTACAGGACTCCTGATTTTCAAATGCTGTATCAAATGTAAGGGTTATTATTATCAGATGGATTTTAACCTAGTGACAAAAGGCTTGGTTTTGTCTGGAAGAATCAGGAGCTAAGAGCTGGATACCAGACAGATTGAATCCATTATGGAGTCCCATAGTGTAGTGGTTAGTGCGTTCGCCTCACAAGCGAGTGGACTCGGACGGGGTGAAACTTTAAGTAAGTCTCCTTACTCCGCACGCCTCTGATTAACTTGAGTTAAGTAGGAACCCTGTTGGGAGGGATCACTTTCCGGGGGGTAATCCCTCCCCCCAAAACATCTTTTTTTGTGGGATTGTTTGTGGGATCCTACTGTGCGCAATTGGCTGCCGCGTTTTGCCCACAAAATACACAGTCAATCCACTTTACAATATGCTTCTGTGAAGCGCTTTGAACCACCTCAACAAAACGATAAGGCACTATATCAAATGCAAGGATTATTATGATGATTGTTACGGAAATGTTTTCGACAAAGCTTTTGCAAATTCCTACCGGTGGAATGGAACTCACCACTAAAGGCTGTGAGAACAGACAAATGGAGATTCC